CAAGTTAATAAGATGGCAAAACAACCATACGCAACTTTTAATAACGAACTTGATTATTTCATCGATATTCGAAAGCACTGATCGCCAGTAGCACGAAATAATGCACTCTCTATCACATAACTTTGGAAACTATTTTCAAAATCAGCTCAAAAATAATAAACGAATTCCAGAAATTCGCTGTGACGAAACAAAATTTTAGCGTATTTTCAGTAAAAGTGATACTGACATGAAATGCAGAATTGATGAATGAACGGTGCACAACTTCAAGAACATATCGCAAACCTATAAACATGACCGGACTGCACGCGACCCGCCCGACCGGCCCTTTGATCGGCAGACGCCTGTGATATTCGATGAACACTGAACTGCGATATGCCAGTTACTGGGTCGTGAACACGTCGTTTCTCATAACCGCTGTCCACAACATAACGCACACCCGGGATTGTGATCGACGTCTCGGCGACATTCGTTGCCACGACACACAACCTCAAATTCGTGATTCATTTATTGTTCGCATCATCGCAAGTTCGATGTCCATTTGCGATGACACGTTAATCGCTGATGGAAATGCGACGATATATTGATATTGCTGACAGTATCGATCTTGCGTCAAGCAACTTGACAGTCATTGTTCACATCTCATTGTATCGATTCGCTTCCTTACACTTTTAGAATAGATGGGAACAATTCATTGAGATTCGATTTGCGTAAACTAAAACAAAAATGAAAAATAAAGGCATCTAATAAGAATAAATGTATCGAATCACCTGCACCCATCCGGAATTGGTTCAAAAACTTTGCGCTGTTTTTCACTCGATAACAACGAATACAACGGCAGACAGTACAGCGGTGAGATATTCGCAGGTGGTGGCGCTAACGACAACGAATCGCCGTCTACCTGTAACACAAACACGCGCGATAAGCTGCCCACATCCAGTCTGAACCAACCACTGCACTCTAATCGACTCGTTTAAAATCGGCAATTATCATCGCAATGAAAACTTTACGAATAAGTTGAATGTGACGCGAAATACGAATGATTTCAGTTTCAAAAATATGACTGCTGACACGAATCGACAAATGAATGCCATTCCCAAAGAACAATGCCCACCTCTTCTTGTAGATCTATGTCTTCCACGTCCGACTCGTCAACATTGTCTGCAATTCCCATCTCGTCCAAATCTGCATTTCTTTCGTCATTTTCTTGG